CTTAACCTGATAAAATGTCATCTGCAAAATATTTATAACTAACATCATGACAAAATGATGAAAGACAATACTTGCACTAAGATCAGGAACAAGGTAGAGATGTCCACTTTCACCAGTCTTTTTAAGCATCATCTGAGATCTTATTGTAGTAAGGCAGGAACAAGAATTAAAATTCACAGGTTGGAAAGGAAAAAGAAAATATTCTTATCTGCATGTGACATGGTTGTCTATATTTTTTGAAAAGAATCACAAAAATTATGAAAGCAATGAACCAGATCTAAGGTTGAGTTTAGTGTGTGTAGATATATCTGCACATATATATATTGTATTGTATATATCCTATATTGTATATATATATATGTATATATATGTTTTGTACATACATGTACATATATATGTACATGTATGTATTGTATCCTATATTATATGTATCCTATATTGTAACACTGAAGAATTGGAAAGTAAAATTAAAATACTATGTATAATAGTACCAATAGTAAAATATTTAGGTGTAAAACTAGCATATTATTAGAAAAAATTTGGCTGAAAATTACAAATCATTGATGAGAGAACTCAAAGAAAAATAGATTAAGTGACATATTCAAGGTTTGAAAGATACAACATTGTTAAGATATCAGATCTATAGTTTCAATGCAAACTCAATTAAAGTCCTCACTTGAGTCCTTGACTGCAACTCCCTTCAGAGACCGGAGTGCATTGGCTGTTCCTCAAGTCTAGTACACGGAGGGCAGCTCACATTGATGAAGCTGCCAGTTAAAGGTGTTGTAATTACTGATGGTCAGGCCTGGAAAGTTGTACAGGTTTTTAAGCAGGAGCCAGACTGCTCATGCTTCATAAAAATTTTGTATTATTTTTTATCAGGTTTTGTGATATTTATAAGGAAATAAATAACTTTATTTCCTTTATAAATAACAATATACCCTAAATATGTATATGAGAATTACCTGCTCTTTGGGAGGAACTTATTGAAAAATTGAAATCTGGACATGTAACATCTCTTTAGGGTCATTCTTAGATAACTTTTTCAACTTACCACATGACTATTATCTATTCTGGGCTTCCCTGGTGGCTCAGATGGTAAAGAATCCATCTGCAATGCAGGAGACCTGAGTGCTATTCCTGGGCTGGGAAGACCCCCTGGAGGAGGGCAAGGCAACCCATTCCAGTATTCTTGCCTAGAGAATCCCCATGGACAGAGGAGCCTGATGGGTGACAGTCTATGGGGTTGCAAAGAGTCAGACACGACTGAGCAACTAAGCACCCACATCATCTATTTAGGTTCTTCACCTTCATAAATTAACTTTAGAACTTTATATTTTATTAAGGTTTAATAAGGGGGAAAAGAGCACTTTATGCACCTGAAATGCCAAGTACTTTAACATAAGGAATTAGAAGTGTATACATTCTTTAGAATGACATGGAAGCTGGCACTGATAATCTCAGCTTGCTGTACCAGCAACACAGTGATTCCAGAAAGTTGACCTGGAAGCCATTGAGAACATTTTGCCTGTTCTCCTTGAACACATCTGCCCTCAACAGCCTCCAAGAAATGCGACTTTGCCTAATTTTCTACCTTTTATATCTCACGTGAGGGCCTGTCCTAGAATGTGGAGAGGAATAAAAGTATAGGAGTATGAAAATTTACAACAGCTATTGTGAGGTATGCAGAAGAGATCAATACTAAGTGACAAGAATTGTGAAAAGAAGGTGTGATGTTTTATTGGAGAACTGGACAATGGAGTGAATAAAATAAGATTGCCCCAAATTCTATGATCTTACTTTCCATGATCTTCAAGGGTAGATTCTATGCCTGTGTGATTAAGAAGCTTTGCTTTATGCAAGACCTGAATAGTAAGAGATCCAGGAAAAGCTTAAGCAAGTAAAGGAGTTAATATGTTCAGTTATTTACCAGCATGAGAAGAAGAAAACAACTCAAGGAAACAGTTGAACATGTGGTTAATCAACACTGTCATCTTTCTACCTGGAGAATAGTATGAGGGTTAATAAATTCATAAATACAAGGAAAGTTGGTAGAGAAAATCAACTGAAAGTCACTGTTACTTAATAAGAAAAAAATGGTATATTTTAGATATTGCTTTGAAGATTCATATAGTATTCTACATAAAGCATTGATCCAGAACAACATGTTTTTCAAAGACAGTTTTGGATTAGAAATTGAATTGATTAGTAGAAGTAAAAGAGGAATGTCAAACAAGATATTCCACTTACTTAAACAGATTTATGTGGCCCACATTTAAATACGGACTTCTTTTTCTTCTTTTGTAGTAAAGCATCCAGTGCAGAATATTGTCCATTGTTTTATTTTGTGCTAGACTTTTTGCCTTTCATCTTATTCCTCTAAAAATCTGTTCTGTGATATAGTTCTCCATTCATCAGGTCTATGTGGGTAACACAAGTCAATTAAATTTCAGCAGAACATGTAATTACTGTTGGGAGTCCCTCCACAAGATTTTCTATTTCTCTTTAGGGATTTAGAACTTAACAATGTGTAATTTTGGTTTAATTAAAATTCAAGTATCAAATCCCTCAAGGCTAATTTTATAGAAACCTGCCAATCAGTCAGCTGACAGACTCATAAAACTCTTGCTCACTCTGTGACTGTCTTCTCCTCAGTGTTATAACCCCCCAATGAATGCCTTTGCTGATATTTCATCCTACATATCTTGTAACTAGGAAATCTTACAATGAAAGAAGTGACTTACTATTCCATATTTACGAGTTATGTGCAGCAAGCTGTATAGTCTCAGGTTGCACTACTCTCTCTCTTAGAAAGATGACAGTGGGGTGGTTTTCTTTCTTTTTTCAATATTTTAATATATAATGATCTATGTTTATATATAATTTGGTTTAAACTTGAAAAGAAAGCAACCTTACTTTAATCTAGAGTGTGCTGTCAGAATGAGTCCACACTGTGTACACTGGGATGGAGTTGGGGGAGTGGGGAGAAGGTGAGGGTTGAGAGGAAGGCAAGTTACTTGACTAGAGGCAGAAGAATTTGGTTTTGTAATAAAAACAAAAAATAGAGCAAATACATTGCATCAGAGTTTATTCGGGTGTGACTATTCTATTGGAATGTCTTGACTATAGGTGAAAATTTCCCTCCCCAGTAAAATGTGCACATGAGACAAAGAAGGTCACAAATTGAAGCAGACTTCTAAAAACAGAAGTATTGTATTCTGGGAAGTCATTGGTGACCAGGAGAAAAACGCTGGTCTGAGAAGTTCAAATATTGGCTTCCAGAATTTGAGGAAGAAAAAAAAAAACCTTTCAGAAAATCTACCATGGCATTGGCCTTTAAATCTGAATGTTTGATTCTGATGACCTATAACAAATAGACCACCGGTTATTTCTTTGGCAAAGATGAGTTTATTCAGGACGATCAGAGGATTGCAATTTGGGATTTGCAACCATGGCAAGCCATGTGTGGGGGCAAAGGAGAAGGTTTTTATAGGGAGGAAAAGAAAGTTGCAGGAGGGAGGGTAAACAAATAGCCCAAGACTTTTCATTAGCTGAGTCCTTGCCAGGAAAGGCATCTTTCTTTTCCTGTTGAGACTGGTGATTTTGCAGGGCAGGTGAGCTCCCCCTCCTGGTCTTCCATTCTATTTACTTGAGGCTTCTGTTTATTATTATTATTATTAATGCATTTCTTTCTTTTCTGCTACATTTTGGGTTGTAGGAATTCAGAAGAGATACATCCAAAACCTCCTTTGTCTCATATATACACTGCGGTGGTGGTTTAGTCCTGCTGGACTGGTGGGTTGGTCTTTTGCAGCCACACGGTAGTTTAGTCTTTAGCAACCCCATGGACTATAACCTGCAAGACTCTTCTGTCCATGCAATTTCCCAGGCAAGAATACTGGAGTGAGTTACCATTTCCTTCTCCAGGGGATCTTCCTGACCCAGGGATTAATCTGCATCTCCGGCATTGTGGGTGGTCTCCTACAATGAAGAAGGATTCTTCACTGCTGAACTACCAGGGAAGCACTTGATATAAAACCATGTGTAAGACAGATAGCTAGGGAAAAGCAAATGTATAACTCAGGGATTCCAACCTGGTGCTCTATGATGACCAAGAGGGATGGGATGCAGGGTGACTGGGAGGGAGGCTCAAGAGGGAGGAGATACAGATAGACAGATAGACAGACAGACAGACAGACAGATAATTTTGGCTGATTTGCATTGTTATACAGCAGAAATTGAACACAACATTGTAAAGCAATTATTCTCCAATTAAAAAAAAATAAAAAACCAAAAAGGAAAATACAACCCTTCCTTGTCTTTATTAGTACTTGAATTTCAGACTAACTTACAAGAGAAAACCCACAGTTTTATAAAACAATAGAGAAAATATTTGCTGGTCTTAAAATAATCTATTTAAGTTTGCAAACTTAAAAGTTTAATATAATCCTGAGAGTTGTTTGGCATCTAGATAGATTATAAATTTACCTGCTGATTATTGGGGAACTTCTAGTCATTTGATTAGAGTAAATGAGTTTTGGCCTATTAAATTTCTTTCATCATGAAGTTGAATATAATTTGATTGTTCACACAGAAGTATGTTTTTTTTCCAAGCAATAAGTATTGAATCTTTTTAATTAACAATTATTTAAATAAATACTCCTTTTATTATTTTTTTCATTTGAATACAAATTTTATTTAATAAAAAGTCTACATGATTCTTAACAGAATAAAAATCAGAAAAACTTCAAACACTTCCCTTCCAACCCTGTGGATGCCTCTGCGTTGCTGGGCTACCAGCCCCAGCCCATGACCATGCAACCTGGATGGATGCATCAGGCACCACCGGGCACCACGGAAACCTAGGTTAGAACACGCCTAACCCATCTTCCAATTAGAAGTGAACGCTGGCCTTCCGAGCGGCAGGTGAGGTATGTGCAAGGCTAGAATTCTGAAGGGTCACAGTCTTCCTCACAGGGAGTGAGCCATGAGTCTTGCTCCTAGTTTGCATGTCTATCGGCCTGAACTGTGCGAAAAACTGACTTGTCCACGAACTCCACGGTGCACAGTTCCGGGCCACCGTCCTGGCAGGGCGCACGCTCCAGCTCCAGCACCATGATGGTATTCGGGGTCGAGGTCACCAGGATGTGCTAAGGCATGAAGAGGGTCATCTGGGGGCCCCACACTGGCCAGTGGTGGCCGAGGTTAAAGCCGTTGATCCACAGCTGACCCTTGGTCCATCCAGGAAACTGGATGAAGGTGTCCTGAGGCAAGTCTGAGATCCTGCTGGGAATAGTGAAGTTACCCACATAAAAGGTTGGGAGTGCATAGGTAGGTGGGCTGTGTGCACGGGCTTTAATGTGGTAGTTGCTGTCACGGCTATCCCAGGTCCCCAGGTGACTGCGTACTGCATCCTCCATGTCCAGCGGGAAGATCTCCCAGTCGGTGAGGATTTCGGAATCAAGGGTCAGGTTAGAAACAAGACCCTTAAAATCGTTGATAGACGGGCCATAGTTCACACGCCCCATATTCTCCACCAGGAGGTCCAAAGTGGCTCCAGCTTTCCCTGTTATGTTCAGGGTGAGCACAGATTCTCATTCAAGGACTCCCTGGGCGACCCCATTCACAGAGACATAGGCCCGGTCATGGACGCCATTGGATGGCGAAGAGAGGGGTGTAGGGTTGCTGCAGTCTTCAGGGAGTGTTGTTCGGTACAGCACAAATCCAAAGTATTGTTTCACATTGACGAATGTCAAGGGATAAACACGTCTTATGGGTCCAGAGGGACACAGGATGTTGAGAGCATCCTCCACTGTCTTTAACTTTTTCAGAGCAATTTTTCCATATGCAAACTTTGGTGTGGATGGGGGGAATAGGACCTTCCAGTATTTTTGCAAACTTCTGAATAATATCCCGCAGAGCAAAATACTTCTCAGTGAGGCCCCCGGCCTCGCTCAGGGGGGCATCATAGTCATAGCTGGTGGGCTGTGGTTGGTAGGGCATGTTGGCTCCATTACAGTAGGCAAAATTGGTGCCACCTATAAACATATACATGTTCACATTTTCCCTGAGAGCAAGCGTATCATGAAGGGTGAAAGCCACCGCTTTGGGGTTGACTGTTGAATGACGTTGGCCCCAATGATCTAACCATCCAGTGTAGAATTCAGAATTGATCAGGGGTCCTCTGGGCTCAAGGCTTCTCTGGAACATGAAAGCAGCTGTAAGGTTGGTACCTGTGTTGAAGTCCACAGTGGCATAGAGCCCCTGGAGCACCCCACACTGCAGGAACTCTCATTCAGCCCGTCCATGGTGAACAGAAGCACGTCCTCACCCAGGTGGTCGTGGAAACACTTCTGCAGGAAACGAAAGTAGTCGTAATCACAGGAATAGTAGCTGCCATATTCATCTTCAACCCGCACTGTGATAATCGGGCCTCCATTCTTATAGAGGAGGGGCCTCATCTTGGGCAGAAGGACCCCCAACCACTTGTCCACAGCCGCAAGGTAATCTGGATCTGAAGAACGGAGAATAGATTTTTTTCTCCAATAGTCAAGCAGGTAATCCTCCCATGTCCCACTCTGCACAGATGTAGGGTCCAGGCCTCAGGATGACCAGGAGTCCCAGCTCGTGTGCCAGCTGAATGAAATGCTCGACATCGTGGTCCCCGGAGAAATTGTACTGTCCAGGCTGCAACTCGTGGAAGGTCCAGGCCACGTACGTCTGGATGGCGTTCAGCCCAACCATCTTCATCTTCAGCAGCCGGTCCTTCCAGTAGAAGCGGGGCACACGGAAATAGTGAATGCTTCCTGAGATGTAGCGGAAGGGCTGGCCATCCTTGAGGAAGCGGTTATGGTGGTAGTCGATCTGGAATGTTCTCTGGGTGGCGTTGTGCAAACCATGCGCAGAGGCCAGCAGCAGGGCGAGGAGGCGAATGACCCCCGGCATGTCCACTCTCAGGCCTCTTGGCTCCGCAGTCAGCCCGGGCAGCCTGTCGGCGTCACTTGACCGAGGACCAGGGGCCTGGCCCCACCCCGCGCCAGCTCCGCCCTGCGCCCCTAAATACTCCTTTTAAAAGACCATCTTGATACAAGAACTGATTACAGTGCTATTATTCAAAGGATGAAGAGCTATTTAACAATTTATTATTCATCAATGTCTCTGCATCAAGATACACAGCAAAAAGTTTATTAGGACTTTGAATTAAAATTCATAGAATATACATGTTCTTACATTGCATATTCGGAACAGAAATGATTATAAAAATAAAGTGTTTTCTTTTTCTACTAGGTGACCATAGGTTCGTGGATTTATCTCTGGGCTTTCTATTCTGTTCCATTGATCTATATTTCTGTCTTTGTGCCAGTACCATACTGTCTTGATGACTGTGGCTTTGTAGTATAGTCTGAAGTCAGGCAAGTTGATTCCTCCAGTTCCATTCTTCTTTCTCAAGGTTACTTTGGCTATTCGAGGTTTTTTGTATTTCCATACAAATTGTGAAATTATTTGTTCTAGTTCTGTGAAAAATACTGTTGGTAGTTTGATAGGGATTGCATTGAATCTATAGATTGCTTTGGGTTGTATAGCCATTTTGACAATATTGATTCTTCCAATCCATGAACACGGTATATTTCTCCATCTGTTTGTGTCCTCTTTGATTTCTTTCATCAGTGTTATAGTTTTCTATGTACAGGTCTTTTGTTTCTTTAGGTAGATATACTCTTAAGTATTTTATTCTTTTTGTTGCAATGGTGAATGGTATCATTTCCTTAATTTCTCTTTCTGTTTTCTCATTGTTAGTGTATAGGAATGCAAGAGATTTCTGTGTGTTAATTTTATATCCTGCAACTTTACTGTATTCGTTGATTAGCTCTAGTAATTTTCTGGTAGAGTCTTTAGGGTTTTCTATGTAGAGGATCATGTCATCTGCAAACAGAGAGTTTCACTTCTTTTCCTATCTGGATTCCTTTTACTTCTTTTTCTGCCCTGATTGCTGTGGCCAACACTTCCAAAACTATGTTGAATAGTAGTGGTGAGAGTGGGTACCCTTGTCTTGTTCCTGATTTCAGGGGAAATGCTTTCAATTTTTCACCATTGAGGGTGATGCTTGCTGTGGGTTTGTCATATATAGCTTTTATTATGTTGAGGTATGTTCCTTCTATTCCTGTTTTCTGGAGAGTTTTAATCATAAATGGATGTTGAATTTTGTCAAAGGCTTTTTCTGCATCTATTGAGATAATCATATGGTTTTTATCTTTCAATTTGTTAATGTGGTGTATTACATTGATTGATTTGCGGATATTAAAGAATCCTTGCATTCCTGGGATAAAGCCCACTTGGTCATGGTGTATGATTTTTTTAATATGTTGTTGGATTCTGTTTGCTAGAATTTTGTTAAGGATTTTTGCATCTATGTTCATCAGTGATATTGGCCTGTAGTTCTCTTTTTTTGTGGCATCTTTGTCTGGTTTTGGAATTAGGGTGATGGTGGCCTCATAGAATGAGTTTGGAAGTTTACCTTCTTCTGCAATTTTCTGGAAGAGTTTGAGTAAGATAGGTGTTAGCTCTTCTCTAAATTTTTGGTAGAATTCAGCTGTGAAGCCATCTGGTCCTGGGCTTTTGTTTGCTGGAAGGTTTCTGATTACAGTTTCGATTTCCTTGCTTGTGATGGGTTTGTTAAGATCTTCTATTTCTTCCTGATTCAGTTTTGGAAAGTTATACTTCTCTAAGAACTTGTCCATTTCTTCCAAGTTGTCCATTTTATTGGCATAGAGCTGCTGGTAGTAGTCTCTTTTGATCCTTTGTATTTCAGTGTTGTCTGTTGTGATCTCTCCATTTTCGTTTCTAATTTTGTTGATTTGGTTCTTCCCCCTTTGTTTCTTAATGCGTCTTGCTAATGGTTTGTCAATTTTGTTTATTTTTTCAAAAAGCCAGCTTTTAGCTTTGTTGATTTTTGCTATGGTCTCTTTAGTTTCTTTTGCATTTATTTCTGCCCTAATTTTTAAGATTTCTTTCCTTCTACTAACCCTGGGGTTCTTCATTTCTTCCTTCTCTAGTTGCTTTAGGTGTAGAGTTAGGTTATTTATTTGACTTTTTTCTTGTTTCTTGAGGTAGACCTGTAATGCTATGAATCTTCCCCTTAGCACTGCTTTTACAGTGTCCCATAGGTTTTGGGTTGTTGTGTTATCATTTTCATTCATTTCTATGCATATTTTGATTTCTTTTTTGATTTCTTCTATGATTTGTTGGTTATTCAGAAGCATGTTGTTTAGCCTCCATATGTTTGAATTTTTAATAATTTTTTTCCTGTAATTAAGATCTAATCTTACTGCACTGTGGTCAGAAAAGATGACCGGAATGATTTCAATCTTTTTGAATTTACCAAGACTAGATTTATGGCCCAGGATGTGATCTATTCTGGAGAAGGTTCCGTGTGCACTTGAGAAAAAGGTGAAGTTGATTGTTTTGGGGTGAAACGTCCTATAGATGTCAATAAGGTCTAGCTGGTCCATTGTGTCCTTTAAAGTTTGTGTTTCCTTGTTCATTTTCTGTTTAGTTGACCTATCCATAGTTGTGAGTGGGGTATTGAAGTCTCCTACTATTATTGTGTTACTATTAATTTCCTCTTTCATACTCGTTAGCGTTTGCCTTACATATTGCGGTGCTCCTATGTTGGGTGCATATATATTTATAATTGTTATATCTTCTTCTTGGATTGATCCTTTGATCATTATGTAGTGTCCATCTCTGTCTCTTTTCACAGCCTTTATTTGAAAGTCTATTTTATCTGATATAAGTATTGCGACTCCTGCTTTCTTTTGGTCTCCGTTTGCGTGGAATATTTTTTTCCAGCCCTTCACTTTTAGTCTGTATGTGTCCCTTGTTTTGAGGTGGGTCTCTTGTAGACAGCATATATAGGGGTCTTGCTTTTGTATCCATTCAGCCAGCCTTTGTCTTTTGGTTGGGGCATTCAACCCATTTACATTTAAGGTAATTATTGATAGGTATGGTCCCGTTGCCATTTATTTTGTTTGGGGTTCACGTTTATACCACCTTTCTGTGTTTCCTGTCTAGAGAAGATCCTTTAGTATTTGTTGAAGAGCTGGTTTGGTGGTGCTGAATTCTCTCAGCTTTTGCTTGTCTGTGAAGCTTTTGAGTTCTCCTCCATATCTGAATGAGATCCTTGCTGGGTACAGTAATCTAGGTTGTAGGTTATTCTCTTTCATTACTTTAAGTATGTCCTGCCATTCCCTTCTGGCCTGGAGGGTTTCTATTGATAGATCAGCTGTTATCCTTATGGGAATCCCTTTGTGTGTTATTTGTTGTTTCTCCCTTGCTGCTTTTTATATTTGTTCTTTGTGTTTGATCTTTGTTAATTTGATTAATATGTGTCTTGGGGTGTTTCGCCTTGGGTTTATCCTGTTTGGGACTCTCTGGGTTTCTTGGACTTGGGTGGCTATTTCCTTCCCCATTTTAGGGAAGTTTTCAGCTATTATCTCCTCGAGTAACTTCTCATGGCCTTTCTTTTTGTCTTCTTCTTCTGGGACTCCTATGATTCGAATGTTGGGGTGTTTCACATTGTCCCAGAGGTCCCTGAGGTTGTCCTCATTTCTTTTGATTCTTTTTTCTTTTTTCCTCTCTGCTTCATTTATTTCCACGATTTTATCTTCTACCTCACTTATCCTATCTTCTTTCTCTGTTATTCTACTCATGGTTCCCTCCAGAGTGTTTTTGATCTCATTTATTTCATTATTAATTTTTAATTGACTTTTTTTTATTTCTTCTAGGTCCTTGTTAAACCTTTCTTGCATCTTCTCAATCTTTGTCTCCAGGCTATTTATTTGTAACTCCATTTTGTTTTCAAGATTTTGGATCATTTTTATTATCATTATTCTAAATTCTTTTTCAGGTAGATTCCCTATTTCCTCCTCTTTTGTTTGACTTGGTGGGCTTTTTTCATGTTCCTTTACCTGTTAGGTATTTCTCTGCCTTTTCATCTTGTTTAGATTGCTATGTCTGAAGTGGGCTTTCTGTATTCTTGTGGTCTGTGGTTCCTTTTTATTGTGGAGGTTTCACCCAGTGGGTGGGGTTGGACGATTGGTTTGTCAAGGTTTCCTGGTTAGGGAAGCTTGTGTCAGTGTTCTGGTGCGTGGAATTGGGTTTCTTCTCTCTGAAGTGCAATGGAGTGCCCAGTAATGAGTTTTGCGATGGGTCTATGTGTTAGGTGTGACTTTGGACAGCCTGTATGTTGACTCTCAGGTCTATGTTCCTGCATTGCTAAAGAATTTGCGTGGTATGTCTTGTATTAGAGCTTATTGGCTCCTGGGTGGTGGTTAGTTTTGGTGTAGGTATGGAGGCTTTTGGGTGGTCTCTTATTCCTTAATGTTCCGTGTAGTCAGGAGTTTTCTGGTTTTCTCAGATTTTGGGCTTAAGTCTCCTACCTCTGGATTTCAGTTTTATTCTTCCAATAGTCTCAAGACTTCTCCAACTATACAGCACTGATAATAAAACTTCTAGGTTAATGGTGAAAAGATTGTCCACTGTGAGAGACAACCAGAGAGATTCATAGAGTTACATGAAGAATAGGAGAGGGAGGAAGGAGGTAGAGGTGAGCAGGAGGAGAAAAAGGGGACTCAAGGGGAGAGAGACAGATCTACACAGTTATCTGTTCCCAAAGTGTTCTCTGTAGCCCAGACACCCACAGAGATTCACAGAGTTGGACTGGGAAGAGAAGGGGAAAGGAGGAAATAGAGGTGTTCTGAGGTAGAAAACAGAGTCAAAAGTGGGAGAGTGATCACCACACTCCTGAATAGAAATGGGAACTGAATATTGGATTCTTAAATGTCCAAAATTTATATCACATACTGAAAAACAAAGATTAAAAATCTAGTGTAGAGATTAGACTCTTTGAAATACAATATTTGAAAACAAAAACAAAAACACAAAAA